CAGAGGAAATATAATGTTAGCCCAATTTTAGTTTTTTTTTTTCCTTTACCTGCCAAGGTGAAGTTTCTCAGCTAGAATAATGGAACCCAGAATAGAGACGATGATCATGCAGAGAGGGTTGAAAGCTGTTACGAAAACCGGGCCTCTAGTCTTCATCACCAAGCCTTGCACGTAGTAAGTAATTCCAGAGCCAATTATTCCCTAAATCATTGACAATGCATCTTCTAATTAGTTAAAAATGAAGAAATATTTACATATTGAAAAAAAAAATAATCACAATCTATAATTGAATGTACTAGACACATTTAAAAATGGCAATTCGTGTTAGGAGGTCGTGTTCCCGTTGCATTGTATGGAACTAACCGAGTAGAGAGGCGCTAGGAGCCTCGAATCCCAGCCGACCGCCCACGCACTAGCACGACGTTCTACAGTAACTGCCACGGCTGCACCTTGCAACGCTCCCACCAAGCATATCAAGCAGGAAAGTGAGATGTTTGCAGGGTATTTCTTCACTGTTATGGACTGGATATCGATACGTAAATTAACGTCAATCACGTCACATATATTAAGCTTCATATTACTCGCATGCAAACGTAATTTAATTAGTGGCCATGCAATTAATACTTACTTGCAACACGTAGAAACAGGACCAAGCAACACAACCTATGAGGATGAAGAGTGTCCCGGTTACCCAGTGTTGGTCGGAGGATGTAGTGGTGCTGCTGTGGCTGCTGGTTTTGTGTGACCATAGGAGGCCAACGACAGGGCCTTTGTACACTGTCATCAGCAAGGCGCCAGCAAAAGTTACTAGGGTTCCTATCACCTTGGCTTGACTGCGTACCTCTTTCATCTTTACACTTTCTACCCTGCAATAATTTTATAACCCACATGTTATTATATTATGAACCGATGCGTCTTTTTCATTTTTCGTTTTGGCGGTTTTTTTTTTTTTTTTTTTTGTTTTTGGGGGGTTTTTTTTTTTTTTTTTTTTTTTTTGGGCTGAACTTATGTTGTTAGACGAATACTTATTTTTCCGAATTATGAATTAGGAATGAATATAATTCATTGATTTTTACCGAAAAATAACTGCGACAACAAAGGTAACAGACGGGACGGCGTTCATGATAGCAGATGTAAATGATGCCGATGTGTATTTCATCCCCAAGTACGTAAACCCCTGATCAACAATTGGCCTGCACAATCAGGTGAATACGTATTTAAAATAAAATAAAATAATCCAAGTCATACGCGTTAGCATTGGTCTCCCCTATCTCTGTTTGCTCCTATTAGTCACGATCAACATTCAACTGTACATGATTGGGAACCTGTGGGACAGCTGTACTACTTTTTTTTTTTTTTTTTTTTTAAGTTTTAAACTTTACATGTACCACATTTAATTATCACATTCGTTACAGACGTGAAATTCATATATGATTAGCAATACTCAGTATGCTTGTAAGTGAGAGATCTTTACTCTAGGAATCCCAGCACCATTATGTGCAAAAAGGTGGAAATCGTCATTTTTGGTCTCGTTGTCCTGTAAAACAAATGAAAATTAATTCACAAAGAAAAAACTGAATTAATTTCAGATTCTTATTACTTAAATGTGACTAATTAGAGATAGAAATACCTTTCAAGAACCAAGGCGAAAGGAGCAAGGAAGAGGGCTGCAGCAGCATTGCGATAGACGATGAGAACAAATCGGTTCATGCCATGGTTGAGAGTAACCATGCTGATTATGTACATCCCTGCAGTCCCAAATTGCAAGCTCACAACAAGCAAATAAGGTTTCAGCTTGTTCAACATAACACCAAACTGCCCACATGCCATCTCTCTCTCTCTCTCGATTTAACTTAATTTCTTCCTTGTGAGAAGTGGAACTGGTTGATTGGGGATGAAATTAAAAGGTGCATGCAATGGCCCTCTTATAGAGGAAAAAAGATTAATTATGATAGGATAATGTAAACCCACTATTGTGCTATTGTATTTAGATTATTCTTTGATATGAGACGTATTGCTTGTACAGAGCCACTCATACCGACACCCACTTGAAGAAAAGGGTTTTATTTTGCAATATTTTTGTGGATGCATGGTCCTGTCTTTGAAAGTATGCTTGCTTCGGTCATTACTGATAGGCAATTGTGCAATTGTGCTTTTCTGTGTCTTTGTGCTTCAATTGTGCTCGCTGGTTGTGTATGGGAGTTTCATTTTACAATGAATATAGGTGTAGCTTTAATATCTTGTCTGTCTCTTTTCAGGAGGGGTCTATCTAATCTTAAAGAACTTACAGATATTTCTTGAAAAAATTGGGCAAACAAACCATCACCAACTCTTTTTTGTAATCACAAAAGCTCTTAAACCAATTTACAGTAAACACCAACTATTATATCTAATGGTTTTGCTAAATATGTATCATTGTAATTTTTGGTTAAGCAAGATAGAGGAAGGTAGGAGTCAAGTTTTTGTTTTGGATAAAATTAGCAATGAGCTGATGTCTGTCTACAGCTAAGTTTTATAAGGTTTCTAATTGATGGATGTGAAAAGAGCCATGCATCTTGCGTGCGCATATTTACATATAGTTACTTCCCATTCAGCATGCATGATGAGGACAGGTCATGTTCCGTAATCCATAAGTAATTGAGCTTTTAAATGTACAATTATTGAGATTTATATATCTTCTTCTTTTTTAATACAAGCGATATTTTACTTTAATATAAATTACTTGGAGGGATATTCGAACTCGGTGCATAGTGGGAAGTACATCCTCTCAAACCAACTTGATTAAGTATTTATATATGTATAATTTTTTTTAAACATTTGTTAATCAATCAAAAAAGTTATGTGCCACAAAGTTGGAACCTTTTAATTCTTTGTAGGAGACTACGCCCTACCATTTAATTTTTCTTCTTGTTTGCAGGGACCCTTTGGTTGCCTAAATGGGAAAAACATATCCCTTCGCAACTGGTGCATACATGTGACATGTCCTATTCAGTGAAAAAAGATTACCGCGAATTTTCAATGACAATATCTTGAATAATATCAGGAAAATCGTGACATCATGAAGATGCATGAATCAAAAAACAAACAAAACTATGCTAATCCATTCGCCGCTTCTGAATTTTGATCAATGTGATAAGTGTTTTTTTCTTCTCTCTTTTCAATCTTATCGGTTTCAAGCTGGAAACATGGCAAAGCCTTGTGTAGAAAAAATTGCATTATGTTTGAAATGTTTGGCATGCTTGTCGGAGTGTCAATCAATATGAATACACATAAACTTATTTTAGGGATATGTTTATATGGCTCATTCCACCTTATATTTCACTAATTTAAATTATTTATTTTTTTATTATAAGAATGATCTAAATACTCGAAAAATAGAATGTTTGGATCGATGAAATCACGTAAGAAATTTCTTAATTGAACATATCCATCAATAGAGATGACTCTAGATATCTGTGAACATTTGGCGATTCGTAGCCAAATAATATGGGGCGGCTAAAGGAGGAAGAATTGACTCATCATTTTTAATGAGAAGGGAAATATACAGCAAGAAAGAACCTTTAAAATGATCTTAACATGCTAGACAGAGATGCCTCTATCTAGCTAATCAAGTTGTGAAGTGTTTGGAACAACTACTATTTAACTCCTCATCACTTTAAGAAAAAGTGAGTGACAAAGAAAGAAGGCAGATGCATGAGTTTTAGTGAAGAGAAATTTGGTCAAAGAAATATAAGCATATCTATTACTTTTGGTACTTTTGATTGTGGTGTGATTCAAAATTTAATCAACTTTCCTGCTCTTCTGCATAATGTATGTGATGAAAGGACCTTTGCGTGTAATCCCTTTTTTCCTCATCTTTTTAAGTGCTAATGGCAAAGTTGAGTTCATCTTCCGATAAGCAATAATCAATGACTGCTTTTCCTTTAGTTTTTTTCCCTTTGAATAATAATAATAATTTATATTTGCATAATTAATTAATTAATTGTGTAAGTATCATTGTCATGTTTCCTTTTAAAAAAAAAAATTAGAAAAATAGTAGCAACTTCACAAAGCAAAAATCTTTTTTTTTTCTTTCTTATTTTAATAGGGCATTTTTCTCAATATAATGTATTAATTATGAATATTTATTTACAAGTTTTTTATGTCAAAATATTGGAGTGACATACACTGTATCCTATCTTTAATATCCACTGAAAAAAGAATGCATTTAAAATGGATAACTCATTTTCATTCAAAAGGGTGACGATTTGATCCTTGTAATGTTTTAGAAAATAAAGATTTCGAGAAAGAGAGTGAAGGAAAATAAAGTGATGGAAATCTGTCTTCTTACAAGAAAGCAAGAGGAGAGATTAAAGCGGACAAGAAAACTTTTCCATGAATTGCAATAATGCTTGAAGATTAAAGAATTTGCTTTCTTTTAATTCCAATGCAAAATGGTTTTTTTTTTTCATTTTTAATTAGGAGTAAATTGAGTTTTTTATTTTAAGGATGATGTATCCAATTTAAATTTCTTAAATTGAATTTCAATGAGGCGAAAACGAAAGTCAAGCAGATCATGACAGAGAAAATCAGAATAGAGGATCCGAATCCATTATCATCATGTCAGCATGAACATTAGAACAAACTATAGAGACGTCTGCGTCAACAAAAGTGAGTGAATTAATTGTGGAACTTGTTTAAGGGTTGTGATTTAAAACAAATCTTGCAACTTTCAAAACGTTTTCTTTTTCTTTTTATAGATAATGGACCACCTTCTCAATGATACATTTTTAACTTTTTATTTATTTATTTTTCGAGAAATATAAAATTGCTTTAAATTGTGGGTTAGTCTAATGTCTCCTTCCACAGACCCCTCCAGAGACCAATTATTGAGAAAAGATGAGAAAGGAAGGGGTTAAGTGTCCATCTTGCATATGTAGTTTCGTCTACATTTTTCATTGATAGAAAACAGTCAACTGTAAAGGAAATAAAGGCAGAAGAACAAAAAGGGATCAAGAAAGAAGGGTCAAAAGAAAATTTGTCTGGCCATTCACTAAAAGTTGGCTACAAAGTTGATGTGAACTACAAATTCCTTTATCATTCAAGATACATGCCAAATAGCCAATGAAAAAACTTCACTTCTACACAGGGTCCAAAACCCACTAATGTTTAAAGGCAGCAGCTATCTTCTTCTGAACCAGTTCCACCCCGAGACGAGGAGATAATCTAGGTAGAGTTTCCTGGACCATAATTCGATATTTTCATCAGATGAAACTACAAATGTGATTCATCAAAACAAAACAAAAAAGATCTAAATTCTTTCAGATTTCAGACTGAGGGAAATGCAGTTGAAGTCTTGTACCATATACACAAATTCTCAGCATTGCTAAAAGGAAACAATAAGGGTAAGTAAACTTGAGATGCTTCAAGCAAGATAGGCCACCTCATAGAGACAATCCCATCAATAATTGCGTTGGCTGTTTATTTGATTGTCAATCCACCATCTAAAGCAAGGTAATTGTTTGATACATGGCAAAGCACCAAAAAAAGTATATTTGTAAAAGAGATTAACAACTGAAACCATATCCTCGCAATGATGCACAAGGAAAAAAGCAAACTAGAATCAGATATTCATGACTGGGAAAATTTGTTCATGGCTATTACAAAAACAAAACAAAAAACAAAAAATCTGAGCCACTAGAGATGTAAAAAGGATCTGCATCTGTCAGCAAGCATTTAGAGTCAGAATTGTATGTGCCACAAGATAGTTCACATGAGCAGGAGAAAAGCAAGAAAACAAAAATGAAGCATGAAAATTGAAAATCATCCCCTTCGAATTTATTAGAAAAGGTAATATGTAGTGAAGGACAACTACAAATAACATGGGAAACATAAAGGCGTGTCCACATTGATTCAAAAGACAAATATCAAAGGATAATGGAACACATTATATGATTTTGGCATGTGCATACGAAGCCTTTTCCAATGTTAATCGATCTAAATGAAGGATACTTGGTTTAATCAGCTGGTATTGAATGCAATGTTTACACAGAAAAGTCAATTAGATTTAAGTTCCACAACAAAAAGAATGAATCATAGGTAGCATTTACAATCACCCATCACTCAGCATAGCATTGACCCAACTAAACTCAATGGAGCCTTTGCCTCAATTATAGGGGCTAGCCCACAAGCCATGACACAACTGACACCCATGTGACATGGTTCACTTGATAACTTTACAGTGCAATTTGATGGGATGTCCAGTCTTTAGGAGCAACATGATTCCTACAATTTCTAATCCTAGGATACATAAGACAGGTTAATAAGAATCATCAAATCACATACACCCAAAGCCAAAATCCAGCATCATAATAATATTATCTTAATGCCTTCTTTATTGTTTCTCGATTGACTGCATTATACAGCCAATCCAATAAAATAGTTTCATCTTCAAAGAATTGACTCAATCAATCATTGCCAATAAAAGAATGTTAAATCTGTCTCTGGTGTCATGATGGCCATCAAACTCTTTAGAACTTGAGCCTAATTGCACATGGTTATTAGAAAACTACTATCAAAGCGAAGTTTAATATAGAGGGTACAATAATCCAATACAAGGTAGCATTATCAAAAGATTTTTGTGGATGGGAAGCTTTTCATTGTATTACTAAATAGGATAGAACAAAATACAAAGACATCAATCCCCAACAATTCAACTAATAAGAAAATGCATACAATCCTTGCTCAATTTATTACAGAAGGGAAGTAGCATACTTTGGAACTAGGCCTCATGTTGTGCCATGGATCAGCCTATCAGGCTTAGGCAGCAGGTACCTTAACCCTTATTCAGCCCAAACTAAATTCTGGCTGGGATTGTTCAAACCAAAGCAGCCACAGATTTATAAAATTCCAAATCAAAGTCTTCTATGGTCCAGTCTAGATTTTGGGTTGGCCAGGATACCTTGCACAAGTTCATCCCTAGTGATCTCGGATGAGGCAACACCTTGCTAAGTTGGCCACTGGACATTTTCTATAAGATTCTTTTTCAAAATATGTTAAACTGCTTGTGTGATTATTTCATTTTGCAGTTTCGTTTATTCTAAAAGTTATTGCTACTCTTAAAATGGGGTTGATGCTTCACATAAAATGTGGTTGCTCCAACACAGGGTCAAGTTCAGAGGTACAATTATAAAGCTTAGAATATGTTTATGCTTAAGTTGAGTGTCATTTGAGTGTCATTCCCTCAACATGTGAAATTAGCGGTATTCTATTCAAAGGATAATAATACAGAAAAAGCTCCCAAGTCGCTTGGTACAGCAATAAATTACGGAAATTGGAAGCTTTCACGATGAAAAAACAGCACATTACAGGAATTAAAGTTGAAATTAAAGCCGACCCAAGAAAACCAAATGGAAGGAACTAACCTCAGTGCCATCAGAAAGCACTCTAGCCAGCACTGGTATCTCATACTGGTAAGCTCTTTCCCACTCTGAATTGCTCGTAATATCCCTTATCTGAATAAAACCCAATACAACAAACTTTATTGAAAACAGAGAAAAAGCTTGAAATACAAATGCTAAAAGTTCAAAACTAAATAAAAACTCATTGGGTTACCTGTAAATCAACGTCGTGAAGAGAATCAGGGCCAGCGAGTAAGAAGGCAGCCTGAAGTTTTTCTTTGAGGCCATCGCACAAACAGCACCCGGGCTTGGAGTAGAGAATGAGGGCTCTTGAAGGCTTTGAAGAAGAAGAAGACGAAGTAAAGGAAGAAGAAACAGCAAATGGAGTGAAGACCCACCTAGCCCTGTGTCTTGTCAGCAACATATTAGACGTTGGCCTCGCCAGCGCCATTGTCACTGTCGCTGTTGCTGCTGCGGCAATGGCCATGGCTACCAAATCAATCCTGCGACCAAACAAACACCAAATCAATCCTTTCCAAAATGGGACAAGGCCCGTTTCTCTCACCTTCTGATTCGGAAGGTGGGCCGATGAGGCTGCGGCTCCTTATACGGTCTGGTGCCTGATCTAGCTATATCAGCCTAGCCCAACATTTGTTAAGCCCATCTATGTAGGCAAATAATGGTATTCACATGAAATTCTATAATAAGAGCAACTCCAGCGGCAAGCCCAGCTAGAGGCTGGGGGGAGAAAAAAAAAAAAATTCAGTTCCAGCGAGGAGCCCAAGCCCAATCCCGAGTTAGGAGTAGGACCCACGAAGTCGGGCTGGCCCTCAGGCCAATTCAGCCCGAGCTCAAGCCTGAGGGCTAGGCTGATGTTATTGCTGACGCCAGGCTAGCGTCAGCCCACTCATTCGATTTTTTTTTTCTGTTGCCACGTGGCATCGTCTGGGCTCTTCGATCGGATTTTTTCCTCCAATCCAATGACAATCAATTTTTTTGCAATAAAGTATTGGAAAATTTCTGAATTTTTTTTAAAAAAATACCTAAAAATTAATGAAATTTTTTCTATAAATACCAGCCAATTTTTAAAAAAATTTATCTGAAATTTGAAATTGAAAATTTTATCCGATTATGAGATATGAATAGTATAGACACGTAGGAATCCGAAAATATTATCCAAATTAATTATTGAGGTAAAAAAATTTGTGAAAAAAACAAAAAAATGAATAGTAATTGCCCTTTGTCATGGCAACGGGTGAAAACGGAAATGGCTTTTTGCAAGGGCAACTACTATTCACATGAATAGTGGTTGCCTTAGCCCTCCCTTGCCATGGCAAAGGGCAAATAGGTGAAGTTGCTCTAAGAGTGCTATATATGGACTCCTCATATGGACCTTAATATTGGCAACAAGATCATTTCATTAAACTTAAGTGAAGTTACTATTCAGATGAATCATATTGCTAATATGAAGGTTCACATATATGATTCATATATAATACCCTCACCATAGAACGACTCTAGTATTCACAATCTCAGTTATATATGGTTGAGCACCTGAGTCATTCTATATAAAGCCCTTGAAACCATATCTCTTAATCGTAGTAGAGAAAGATTATCTCATATATAAGAGAATTGACGTCACATTGATGGTGGTGATGATTTGACGACAACGTTGTCTCTATGGTGGTGAGCGGTGGTCTGACGATGGATTGATGAACTCAATGGTTAAGCTGCGGTGGACAAAGTTTTTGCTTGGAGACCTAAAGGTTTTGTATTTCATTTTTTAGAGCATTGGAAAAAGAAAATAAAAATAACTAAATTCCATGTAAGCTAATTTCATTAATTGATGTGGCATGACCACATCAGCTGCCATATAAGGTGGGCAGTTAATGTGGTCAATTAAGTGTGTTCAAATAGCATTACTCTTAAAAAAACTAAAGGCTAGCTGATGTCATTGTACCTTTAATATTAGCCTTTTGGATCTGCAGTTGTACGAGATGTTATGTGCTCACACCTACGCGTAATACTTTCTCTTCTTGAAAAAAACATGTGTTGAGCCCACAAAAAAATTTGGTTTGGGCTATAGTTGGGCTACAAGGAGCCTGGTTAGAGGGGCTAATTGTGGCCCTCCAAATTTGTTTTTAGCCCATGATTGGAGATGTAGCCCATAACTGAAGATAGCCTTAATTACTTAAATTGCAAACCCCTATAATTATATGTAGTCTTTGTATAAGTACCACATATGCGTGTGTTACAGGGGAAAATGAAAGTGCCATAAACGTTACCCAACAAATATGGACCTTAAATTTTTGTATTATCTGCTGAACTTTTAATGCAAACGTTACACATGAAAATAGTTTAATCCCAAGATTTAAGCACATTAAAATATGAAAAATCGGAGCAGAATTCTAAAAATTGTTGCATTTTAGGGGGTGTATTCAATTAAGATTTTAATAGATTGTAATTACAAGATTATAATGTAATGGATTTCAGCCAGATTTGTAATTACAAGATTTTAATAGATTGAAATTACATGATTTTACTTATGATTTTAATAGATTGCAATTTTCACTTATAGGAATTTTTTGTATTCTCCAAAATAAATTTGCCCAATGTAGATTGGATTCGGGTTAGCCACGTTCGACCACTCCCAGTTTTTGTCAAGACTTGGACCAAAAATTGTGGGGTAAAAAACACACTTTTTTTCAGCTGCTTGTGGCATAATCTCATATTTGGTTTGCTTGTAGTTTTTTGGGCAACTGATACTTTCGGACCTGTATACTTCACCTTCATATTTTTTTTCATATTTTTCCTTTTTCTCTATTCTTTTCTTTCCTTTTTCCTTCTATTCTTCTTCCATCATTTGTGTTTTTTTCTTTCTTATTTGGCTTTGGTAAATTATTGACGTGCCCTTCAATGGAGGTAATGTGTTATAAATATAGTGGCTGTTTCTTCTTTCAATATTGTCATCTCCGCTAACTCTCTGGCTCTCTCTCCTCCCTTGGCTTTCTTCTCCATCCATCAATTTCTCTATGGCCTCCTTCACCCTTTCCTTTCTCACCACCACCATAATCTTCTCATCCTCTACTCACTTCACTTGAAATTCCACACCAACTCTCACGGCAATAACTTAGAATCTGTTCAACAAGTTTCTCATTCATAACTTGGAGGTCTGGGCAGCTAGATCCCCCACTTTGTTGGTCTTTGTCCTTCAAAACGATGATTCTCATGCCCCCCAAGGAGTTAAAGGTGATTTGACATACTTCCAGTCTGAAGACATACATTTGTTTTTTATACCTAGTCTGACCATTTTTTCAGTTATCTGCTCTGGTGTGTTGGTGGTTCTTTTTATTAGTTCTTACCAAGGGCAGTGCGTGGTTTATAAGAATTAAGCATGTAAGGGTGAGATTTGTTATGAGATTTGGTAGTTATATTATCCACTTAAAATCTCACACAATACACCACTTAATGAAATACTTTAAAATCGATCAGTTTTTGAATACCACAGTACTTTTATTGTCTACTTAAAAATCTTAATTGAATACCAACGTATTTTTATTGATTACTTGAAAATCCTAATTGAATACCACTAGACTTTTAAGCTTCAAAACAATCTATTAAAATCTTAATTGAATACACCCCTTTAGTTGACCCTAAGAGCAGCTCCACCGCTGCACAAGACCCGGGCAAAAGGCCCCCCTAGGCAGCCCGAACGACGTCCAGCGCAGGAGAAGTTGCCCGGGCAAGAGCTGGGTCCCACCAGCCCGGGCAGGCCCAAGGGCAACTTCAGCCCGAGGTCCAAAACGAGTTTTGTGACGTCACGCTTGCGTCACGCTGATGTCAGGGCAAGGTAAGTCAAATTTTTTTACCGTTAGCGCGTGAATTACAAGCATCAACGGTAAAAAAATTTGACTTCCGTGCGTTGACGTCACACCTGACAGAATCCAACGGGCATTTGCCACGTGGCGCGACAGGGACTCTCCGATCGTTATTTTTCCAAAAATCCGACGGTCCTCATTTTTTTGGCTTAAAAAATTGCAAAAATTCGAAAATTTTTTTTTAAAAATACCAAAAAAATTTGTATTTTTTCCTATAAATACCTAACCATTTTATTTGCACACACCAAATCTTCATACAATTTCTTCTCCAATCCAATATTTTTTACTCTCCACTCACATTATTCACTTTCCACACCAATTCTCCATACAAACTCTTCTCCTTCCAATATTGTTTACTCTCCACTCACATTTTTCTACTACTTTCCATTTATATAAAAAAAACAAATGGCATCTTTTGTCGAAGTTGGAGGCTCGTGGTCAACTCATGAAGATGTTGTGTTGTGTCAATCTTGGGTGAACGTTAGTCATGACCATATCACGAGCAATGAGATGAAGTTCCATCATATGTGGAGCAAAATTCATGGAGAATTTTGTCAAAGATCAGGTTCTATTCGGACCGAAATGACCTTATCTAGTAGATGGAAACTTCTGAATAAGGAGTTAGGAAATGGAGAAATGCTTTGACAAAAGCAAGGGATAACATTTGAAGCGCTCAAAATCTATCCGATGAGGTAAATTATTTATAATTGCCATTTTAATCAATTTAATGTAACTTTTTTTTAAATTGCATATTCTATTTCTTTTTCTTGCATAATCTTTTTTTTTTCTTTTTGCATTTCCAATTTGTCTATATTTTCTTGCATAATCAATTTTATTCTTGCATTTCAAAATAGTTTATATTTTTTTGCATAATATATTTTTTTTCTTGCACTTCCAATTATTTATTTGTAATAGATCATACAAGCACAAATGTGGTTCGGTGCCACGGGGCAAGGCAAAAAAAATTCATGCATTTTCAATGTTGGGAAGTTGTGAAGGATTGTTCGAGATTCAGAATTATTCTCATCGGTCCGCCGGTTGTGATGAATGAGACGCCACTCCACGATTCGCCATCAACCGATTCGTCATTGGACTCCCCAATGGAAACGGAGTCACCATTTGTGCCACATCCCCCGAGACCTATTGGGAGAAAGGTGGCAAATGTCAAGAGAGGGGGCACTTCGACCACTGAATGTGTACAATTATTGGAGCAAATAGCTAAGAACACCTCACTAAGAATGGAAAGAGACTTGAAAAGAGATGAAATGGACGTGGCACGAGAGGAAGCATTTGTTATTCAACAACAAAAGGCACAAGAAAAAGACATGGATAATAGAGAGATGAAAATCATGGCCATGGATACGAGTCATATGTCTCCCGAAACAAAGGCCTATTGGAAGCTAAGACGAAGGGATGTGATGAGAAGAAAACTTTTCCATGACGACGGACCTAGCAATACGGATTGGTTAAATGATGAAAACCATTAGGTTGTATTGAAACACCTTTGCCATATGTTGTATTGTTGTATCATCCTTTAATTTGTTGTATTGTTTCCTTTTTATTCAATAAAAAAAGCATTAAATAAAATGACTATTTATTAAAAATATTTAAGCATCAAAACAAATATTAATTAAAAACGAACCTTAATTTATTGCAAACAACACACAAAACAAACCATACATAAAATTATAATAATAATAAAAAGCATCATTCCAAAAAACACCACACAAATAAAGCTTAATTAAAAACAAAGCATAATTCTAAACAAAGCACTAATCTTGACTTCATCCATTGTGATTGCATTTCATCTCCCAAAAGTGCTCGACCAAGTCACCTTGACGTAACTCGTGAACATATGAAGATTGCATTTCTTGATACCGATCAATCATGGGGTTGTTGAATTGACCATCCCGAAATAACGGTTCGGGCTTCATTGGTAGTCCATTTGGTCCAATCGGCCTTTCATATATTCTTGTCAACGCTGTGTTCATTGGATCGGGTTCAAACACCTCTAGAGCTTCATAGTCATACTCATCCTCCACAATCATGTTGTGGAGGTTGATGCAAGTCATCATAATACTCCGTAGCACCTCCTCATCTAGCATCCGAGCAGCACTCCTAATAATTGCCCAACGAGCTTACAAGATATCGAAACACCTCTCCACGTCTTTCCTCTAACCTTCTTGAAAGGAAGCAAAGCTTTTTTCCTTCTCGGATTGGGGATTCGGAATTGTTTTCACGAATGTCGTCCACCTAGGATAAATTCCGTCGGCAAGGTAGTACGCACCAGAGTAAACGGAATTGTTGATTTTGTATGTGACCTGGGGGGAATGACCTTGCAATACCTCGTCGAACACCGAAGATTGACCAAGGACATTAAAGTCATTCTGAGATCCGGCAACCCCGAAGAAGGCATGCCAAGCCCAACAGTTGAATGAAGCTACGGCCTCCAAAATTATACTTTTTTGGCCCTTCCGATTCCCGTACTCTCCTTGCCAAGTAGTAGGACAATTCTTCCACTGCCAGTGCATGCAATCGATGCTTCCAATCAATCCTGGAAAACCTCGAGTCTCGTCTTTTTGTAGAAGCCGTTGCAGGTCCCTTGGCGTGGGTTTGCAAAAATACTCCCTCATGTACAAATTTTCCACTGCATCACAGAATCTCACCAAGCACTCTAGGATAGTAGATTTTCTCATCCTTGCAATCTCATTCACCTGCTTTGCAGACGCCCCATAAGCAAGTATCTGCAAAGCAGCTGTAAGTTTTTGCTCTGGGATAAGACCCAAAGCTCCAACAGCATCATGCTTTTGAATGAAGTATGTGTCGTAATTACAAATATCATGTATAATTTTTTGGAACAAATGTGGCTGCATTATATATCTCTCTCGAAACTTAGAAGCAGGATATAACGAATTTGGGATAAAATAATCCTCCATAAGATTCTTACCCCGAGACTCTCTACGTCTGTCCACATTCGGGGCACGACGACGACGGTGTTGCGTTGATTGATACATCATACACACCGCTGCTGCAATCATTTGTTCCTCTTCTTCATCGGCGTCCCGATCTTCTTGAGCACGTCTACGCCGGATTTCTTCCCTTTGTTTCTGTTGCCTCTCCAACACCCTCGACAAGTTTGACATTGAGAGTAGAATGTGTTTTGTAAAATCTGAGAAATGAAGGAATAGATAAGAGATGGTGTGAGAGGTATGAATTGATGGTGTAGTTTTATAGAAGGATTTAGAAGATAGAGATGTCACGTGGCACAATTTTAGAGGATGAAAATCTTATCTGAAATATGAGATTATAAATTTTTAAAAATATCTGAAAATCTTATCTGATATGGGACACGTGGCACAATTTTAGAGGGTGAAAATCTTATCTGAAATATGAGATTATAAATTTTTAAAAATATCTGAAAATCTTATCTGATATGGGACACGTGGCACAATTTTAGAGGGTGAAAATTTTATCTGAAATATGAGATTATAATTTTTTTTTAAATATCTGAAAATCGTATCTGATATGGGACACGTGACACAATTTTATAAGGTGAAAATCTTATCCGAAAATTTTATTACGAAAGATTATCAAAATTAATGGTTTAAAGTATAAAAAAATAGGAAATAAAGTACAACGAATATTAATTGCCTTAGACTTGCCCTAGACTTTGCCCTCAGAGCAACTCCACCCATTTGCCCTTAGCCATGGCAAGAGGGGGAGTTAGGGCAGCCACTATTTATGTGAATAGTAGTTGCCATTGCAAATCAGAATTTTGTGTTTCCACCCGTTGCCCTTGCTAAGGGCAGTTACTATTCATTTTTTTGATTTATTCACAACTTTTTTTTATCACAATAATTAATTTGGATAATATTTTCGGATAAGATTTTCAGGTTCCTACGTGTCAATACTATTCATATCTCATAATCGGACAAAATTTTCAATTACAAATTTCAGATAAATTTTAAAAAAAAGGGCTGGTATTTATAGAAAAAAATTCATTAATTTTTGGGTATTTTTAAAAAAAATTCCGAATTTTTTCCAGTATTTTATTGCAAAAAAATTGGCTGCCGTTGGATTGGAGGAAAAAATCAAATCGGAGAGCCCAGACGACGCCACGTGGCAACAGGAAAAAAAATCAAATCAGCGAGGTACTGTAGCGAGACTGTAGCAGATACTGTAGCGCTACAGTCACCCCCCTCGTTTTGGACCTCAGGCAGAAGTTGCCTTCGGGCCAGCCCGAGTTGGTGGGTCCCTCACCTCCCCCGGGCCTGAGCTGTCCGCTGGAACACCTTTTTTTTCCCCTCTCAGCTTCGGGCTGGGCTTACCGTTGGAGAGGCTCTCATGGGTGGAACCATAAATGCAAAGGCTGATACTATTTATGTGAATAGTGGCAGTCCTTGCGTACCCTTGCCTTAGACTTAGCCCTTGTGGGTGGAGATGCTCTAAGATCGAATCCATTGGACTCTCAGTTAATTTTTTATTATTTTGTCGAGGAGTGCGCCAACCAAACACACAAAATGTGGAGCTGAAGTGAACTGTAGAGTCACTGAACTCAAACGAGTAAAACCGGTAATTACTGTTACATTGGCCACGGCCCACTCCCCCCCAACCACCACCACCATGTCCAACCATCTCCTCACACTCGCAATCGTCCTCCTACTCGCCGCCACCGGAGGGGCCCACTCAGAACAACAACACCAACACGACACGCCCATCAGTCGTTTCCAAAATTACCTCCGGATCAACACGGCCCACCCGAACCCGAACTACACCGCCCCGGTCTCCTTCCTCACCGCCATAGCCCAAACCCTAAACCTCCAAATCCAAATCCTCCACTTCATGCCTTCTACATCCAAGCACCTCCTCCTACTCACCTGGCCTGGCTCGCGC